GGGGGGGGGGGCGACCTGGTTAGCGTGATCTAGGAGCGAAAGGGTACCAACTCATCCTTTTCTAGAAGTCCTTTTCTAGAAGTGACTTACATGAAAGAATGTCGTGCCCAGGAGCGTACCATATCTGTGGGCGTATTGGTTAGTACCGACGTACAATGTCTCGGACAGGCACGCCATGTGCTAGCCTGGTGGGAGGGGAGGTCCACGGCGAGACGCTGACATACGAGATGATATGGTACGGCGCCGGCGAGAAGATGATGGAGCGGTCCGACATGATGACGATGGAGCTGGTCTGACCCACTTTGGGGAGATCGCGACAAGGTTGGTTTGGGAAGACGGAAGATATTAGCGCAGCGTTCTTGCTCGGTCCCTCTTTCCGAAAGTTCTTCTAGCTTCAACTACAGACGATGCGGAATGAAGTTGTCATCTGGAAAGTTGTCCTTTGGAAACAAAACAACGGAAGCTCCGGAACGCTGAGCTGTTCGAAGATGGAGACACTTTGAATTGACGAAACCTTGACCACTGGGGTGCAGCAGGGGTAGGCGTAGATCCCTGTGCTCGAGTATCCGCTAGTCACGTGCTTTCGCGGAAGCTTCCTGTTTGTCCCAATCGCGCCGCTCGTGCATTTCCCCATGTTTAAGTGCTGCCTAAACATGGGCCACCAGTTGATTGATGACGGCATCTGCCTGCCCCTGACATAAAAGTCAACGGCAAAAAGGGAAGCCTGTTCGTTCTGGTCTTCCATATGTCATGTAAACACTGCACGCCGACTCGCCTTCGTACCAATTACCAGAGCCACCGTCGCAACCATGGCGGATAAGGAAGTGACCGTCTTCATCATCGACCTGGGCCAGTCCATGGGCGACTGCAATGGCGGGCGCGTCGAGCCCGACCTGGATTGGAGCATGCGCTATGTCTGGGACAAGCTCTGCACCATCGTGGCTGCCTCACGCAAGACGTGGCAGGTCGGCGTCGTGGGCCTGCGCACCGACGACACGAACAATATCCACCACAAGGGTCACGAGGACGGCTACGAAAACATCTCGGTCCTGCAGCCCGTCGGGCCCATGTCCATGACCTCGCTCAAGGAGCTGCGCGGGCAGATTGCACCCAGCAACACCAACTCCGGCGACGCCATCTCGGCAATCGTCGTCGCTATAGATCTAATTGACAATGCGGCCCCCCAGCGACTCAAATATAAACGCAAGATTGTGCTTGTCACCGACGGCCAGGGTCCGATGGACGAAGACTCGCTGGAGGACATCTGGGCGCGGATCAACCAGCTCAACATCGAGCTTACTGTAGTGGGGGTTGACTTTGACGACGCGGACTATGGCTCCAAGGAAGAGGATAAAACGCGGGTCAAGGTATGCCTTGTATCAAGGGTTGATCAGTTCAAAATGTGCCTACTAACCAGCCAGCGCATAGACGACAAACGAGAAACTCCTAAGGACCCTGACTGGCAATTGCAAGGATGCCGTTTTCGGTACCATGGCCGAGGCCGTGGAGGAGCTTCAAAACCCCAGGATCAAGACCACGAGGCCATACAAGACTTTCGATGGCCAGCTGACGCTTGGAGATCCCAAGGCGTACGGCAGTAGCGCCCTGAGCATCCGCGTCGAGCGCTACTTCAAGACCAAGGCCGCGCATGCTGTCTCCGCCAGCACCGTGGTGGTCAAGTCCGAGGATGCTACCCAGTCGACGCGGACGGTGCGCGGCGAGGAGGACGACAGCGTCCCGGCCGACGGCATGCTCACCGGGCTCCAGACAGCCAGAAACTACCAGATCAAGGACGAAAGCGCCCCCGGCGGCAAGCGGGATGTCAAGTTTGAAGGGTTGGCCAAGGGCTACGAGTACGGGCGGACGGCCGTCCACATCAGCGAGTCTGAGCACAACATCACCAAGCTCGAGACGACCAAGGAGTTTACCATTATTGGCTTCATTCCCAAAGAAAAGGTTGGCTTTGTCCCCTTCTCCCTTTGGTGGTATTACCCGCTGTGAATCGTACTTCACTCTTTAGTCGAGAGTGTTTCGTGGCCGCTAATCTAATCTTCAACCCGCAGTTTGAGCCATTCCTCAGCATGGGCGAGGCCTGCGTGACCCTTGCAGCAAAGTTCAGCGAGAAGGACGAGGTTGCGCTTTCGGCTCTCATCAACGCGCTCTACGACACAGAGTCGTATGCGGTTGCCCGACTGGTGACCAAGGACGGGAAAGACCCGCAGCTAGTGCTCTTGATGCCCGAAAGCGACGTCGAGTTCGAGTGTCTGTACGATGTGCCTCTGCCGTTCGCCGAGGATCTGAGACACTACCAGTTCCCACCCCTGGACAAGGTTGTCACGTTGAGCGGTCAAACAATGACGACGCATCGCCTGCTACCAAGCGACGCGCTGGAGCAAGCAATGAGCGACTACGTCGACGCTATGGATCTGTCCTCCTACAACACTGGTGACGACGATGAGTAGGTTCTATCTATCGAGCCCCGTTTCCGCCTCGCTGCTGACCTGTTTCGTTAGACCATCCGAATATGCGCCAATAGACGAAACATTCTCGCCCATGATCCACCGTGTCAACCAGGCAATCCGGCAACGCGTAGTCCATCCTGATAAGCCGATACAGCCGGCAACGGGCATACTGACACGCTACTCGATGCCGCCAGAAAAGCTTGTCGACGAAGCTGCCGATCAGATCAAAGAACTTATACGAATCGCCGATGTCAAGAAAGGTACGCCCTCCCCCCGAGATGAAGACTGATGAAAACCAGACACATGGATTTTGGGCACGTTCTTTGCATGCTAACCGTCACACACCATCCTGTCCAGTCCCGCCCAAAGTCAAAGGTAAACGCCAGCGTGAAACGGTTAAGCCAATGTCCGGGCTGGATGTGGACGCCCTGCTGGGCAAAGAAGGGCCCAAGAAGCGGGCAAAAATCACCGCGGAGAACTCGGTACCCGAGTTCAAGCAGATGCTGGCGGTGGCGGATGAAGTGTCCACGATCGAGGACGCGGCACGGCAGATGGGTGTCATCATACGGGATCTGATCCAGAACAGCATGGGGGACGCCAACTACGACCGAGCGACCGAGAACATGCGTGTTATGCGGGACGAGCTCGTGGGACTCGAGGAGCCCGAGCTTTACAACGACTTCGTACGCTCGCTAAAAAAGATGATCGCGACGGGCGACCTCTGTGGAGATAGGCGCGAGATGTGGTGGTACATCAAGCTGGGGAAGCTGGGGTTGGTGTCGACGAAGGAGTCAGAGGTCTCTACCGTGACGGAGGAGGAGGCTCTCGAGTTTACGCGGACCGGTGTGTAGGCCAGTTGTTGAAGAGATGGATATCTTCTTGTCTGTTCGCCCTGTGCTACGGCCTTGATATCGAGCTTATGTTCCCGAACAGTGACGTGAATGTATAAATGCGATGAAATCAAACGAACATGACTTGATGCATATAACTTGGATATGCCTCTATTCGACGAGTGGGTGGGCGTTTGCCCGCAATACAGCGCTTGTTTGCTTCGGCGTCCTAGTTACTACATGCAGCCTACAAACAAGCCACGGGAGGTGCTACAATGACTGGGTGGTCTGCGGGCATATGTTTTCGCGAGGCATCTACCGTACTAGCTTGTTCCACGACGGGCACAGCACAACTACCCATGTCGATACTCGTGGGCCGAAGAGTTTGGGTCACATTTCGACATCACTCGAGGTGCCACCTCGTCTCCTGCCACCGCTGGTTACCAAAAATAGGAGGGCCATACTACCTTGGCCCGGCGTGCTCCCCGAGCCCCTCCAAGTTTACTGTGACGGCCGGGCGCTCTTTCCACGGACTTGGACAGCACCCTTGGGTTGGCTCGTTTGTCGCTCCTTCCAGAAGGCGCTCCCAGATTACGCCCGTTAGCCTTGCAGGTAATAGCCCGCCTGACACCATCAGATCGGATGACTCTAGCTGAGGTCAACTAGAGGTGCCTACTTCAGCAAAACTCGATTATTTATTCATCCAACCCTCATCTCTCCCGACCAACAGCCTCTGTCGCAATGACCTCGACCAATACTGAGGAGAGCGTGCGTTGGCTCCGGCAAGCGTTCGGCAAGGACGCCGTAGCAGACCTAGACCTAGGAACTCTCTCGAAAGATAGCTCCAAAACCTCCAGCGCCTCAACCTCGGCTGAAACCATGGTTGGCCACGACCAAGCCGCGCGCCGCACTGGGCCCAGTAAGATCATGAAGGCCGTCGCCGGTCTCGGCAACAGGGACAGCTCATCCGACTCTGATGGACCGACCGCCAAGAATTCGGTGAGCAGCACATCAGCCGCCGCCGCCGCCAAGGCTCCGAGGGCTGGCTACCGCCACATGCTCAAGCGCGGCGACTTCAAACGCGCGCCCGAGGTCAACCTCAAGGCCGCCGGCGAGGTCCAGCGCAGCCAGATGTCGGAGCCGCTCAGGCTCGTCGCGAGGGAGATATCGCCCAGCGGCTGGGTCTTCACGCCGTGGGAGATTGTGCTCAAGTACCCGAGGCACTTCGTCGGTAACGCCAACCGTGGGCCCGCGTCGCCCTACTTCCAGGCACCCGCCGTGCTCGACAACCAGATCTGGGACTTCTTCTACATACAGCCGCTCGCGCTTGACGAGAAGCCCGTGCTCCTGGTCCCCGTCGCCAACGTGAACCACCTGCTCGACTACGTCAACGCCGCCCTGGGCATCCGCCTGACCGTGCCCGTGGGCGACAGCGCCGCCAAGTTCAACGTTCAGTTCGGCATCGGCAACACCCCGCGGCCCCGCTACCTCGGCCGCTCGGCCAGCTCAGCCGACTTTGACCGCCTCCGGGAGGAGCTCTCGTCGATGCGGCCCACGACCGAGCCGCTCGAGGGCGCGACCGGCCAGGCCATCGAGCTCTTCCGCGATCTCGTCGACGGCCTCTGTCGCTTCTCTGACAACAAGAACGGCGCGGCCAAGAAGAAGAAGAAGGCCCGCCAACGGGTTGCCGCACGCCAACAGTGGGGTCGGGCTACTAAGCGGGTGCAGCGCTACCTTGGCATTCGCCAGAAAACTAGGGGCAGGAACACTATACCCAGAGCTAAGGACAGCAGTGAGTACTCCATTGAAGGATAAATCCTACACATGATGGCAGATGTCTAACATATGCGAACCCAAGACACGGGCGGGACTCCGGATATTTCAGGTCTGACTCTGAAGCAGCAAAAGCCTGACATCAAGCTCGTGTGTGTGGACGTTGAGACATACGAGCGCAGCCATGACCTTGTCACCGAGATCGGTTTCGCTGAGCTCGACACTTCGAGACTCCGTGGCATCCCGCCCGGCGATGGTTGCCAAAACTGGTTCTCTCTGATCCAGGGATCCCACTACATCATCAAGGAGAACAGCTGGGCCAAGAACGGCATCCATGTCGAGGACAATCGGAGAAACTATAGCTTCGGTACCTCCAACGTCGTACCCCTGAGGACCATGCACAAGATTGTCGAGAAAACTCTTGGGCGGCGGGCCCTGAAGGCCGAGTACGAGCGATCCGATGAGGCGCAGCTTGCGTCTGTCGTGCTGGTCGGGCACGATATTGCAGCGGACATTGAGCACCTCCAGAAGATCGGATACGACGCCCGCAATGCTCCAAGGATCGTCGATGTCATCGACACGGCACAGATGCACCAGCATTGGAGGCGCGAGAAGAACCCGGCTAGTTTGGGACGCGTGCTGGCCGGTCTGGAGATCTCGCACCGCTACCTCCACAATGCTGGAAACGATGCAATGTACACTCTTCAGGCGTTGCTGGTGCTGGCCAGCAAGGCCCGCCAGGACAGTTTTGACCGAACAGCAGGCAAGAAGACGTAAGTGCCCGATGAGAAGAGATGGATTCATTGCGAGCTTCCGTCCAGTCCGAGTAAAGGACGCAGAAGTTTCTGTCCAAAACTAACACTGGTCATCCCGCAGGGCCAGAGACACTCAGTCGGTGGATGATAGTGACGGCGGCTGGAGCACAGGTGGCGAGCTGAGTGATGGAGGCGATGCTGTCGGCCTTGAAAGTGAACGCGATTGAGCAGTCGCGACACGGACACATCAGGCAGTCATCGCCAGCCCCCTCTGGTGCGACGAGACTGCGATAATCCATGGATATTGCGGCTGAAAAAAAAAAGACGATGAAAATCACCCACGAACACCCGAGTATTTTGAGCAGAGATGCATATTGGTATTCAGTTCGTAGAAGCTCATTGGTACCTGATAACAGACACTCTATAAAACCCAATCCCCTTACCCAACTCCGTACGCCTTTGCCATGAAAGTGTCGTTATATAAATATATTTTGTGTTGTACAACCATCCTGGTAACTCTCACAGATCGATACAAGCCCCCTGTGAGCACATGCTATGACGTCGTCTTCTCCAGCAGCTCCTTCGCCTCGTTGACCTTGGTGGCCAGGTATGGGCTGCCGCCGCGGTCGGGGTGGTTGAGAAGCATCAGGTTGCGGTGCGCCTTGCGGACCTTGTCCTTTGTGATGGTCTGCTCGCTGGAAGGGGGAAACAAGGAGATGGTCAGCCCCGGTTGATAAATGTACCCGCAAGCTCTCCGTTCCCTTCCCATGGGGGCTTACTTGAGCGAGAGGATCAGCGACGCCTCCTTCTTGGTCATCTTCTGCTCGAAGCCGCCCTTGTAGAAGGCCTTACCGAGGGCACCGACGCCGCCGCGGGACCTCCTGAAGGCGACGAGTCCTGCCCGGCCCTGCAAATGGGGGTTGTGGTTGGCGAATGTTAGCCGGTGTTCCCGAGCCTGACATGCAGCGGGACAACTCCCTCCTGCTCCGTCCGTCGTCCGCGGCCCGGGGAGGGGCAAAAGAGGGTCCGATCGTACAAGAAAGGCCGCAACGGCAGCTCCGCCGACGAGCGCGAACATGCTAGACATCTTTGGGGGGGGAGTGAGGGTGGGCTGGCGAGAGGTTCCCCGGTGTTGTTGGTTTCGGTACGCTCGGCGCGGGAGGGTGGTGAGCGGCTGGGCGCAATGCGAAGGAGTTCGGCGTGCGGGTTCGACCGGAGGGTGAGGCGACCCAAGTTTTTCGCGAATCGCAAGGCCATCGGCGCCGGGCAGGCGGGCCCGCCAAAAAAAAAGGAAGCTAGGAAATTCTTGATAAGATAAGAAAAGAAACGCACGGTCCGGGAAAATGCCACTTGGGCAAATCAGCGGGCGATTTGCAGAAGGCGGCCCCACCAAAAAAAAATCGGAGGGACTGCCCATTCTGGTGGGCTGGCTGGCAGAAAAAAAAGGAAGCAATCCCCATACTTTAGCCTCGCTGTTCGTGAAAGCAGGAGCGTAGAGGAAGCAAGCTCCAGGACCCTCTTGACAGCAAAGATGAGGTATGTCCTCCAAGTCCCTCCCGACAGCTGTGCAGATGCTTTCACTCTGCGAACGCTCCGGCTAATAGCAACTTTTGCCCCTTCCCTCCAGGATCGAGACGTGCTATTTCTGTTCGCGCCCAGCCTACCCGGGCAAGGGCATATCATTCGTCAGGAACGATGCGCGCGTATTCCGCTTTTGCAGGAGCAAATGCCACAAGAACGTGAGTTGAGCATCTTACCAGGACCCTCCCTCTCTCGGTGGCGGACTCGAGAGACGGCGACGGCCATGGCGGCCGGAGAAAAGAAAGGGCGCACACCGTCCTTTCGTTCCCTTGCATCGAAAAAAGCCGCCGAGGATACTACTGCCGCCAACACCTACTAACTCATACGTGGCAAAACCTCTAGTTCAAAATGAAGCGCAACCCCCGCAAGCTCAAGTGGACCAAGGCCTTCCGCAAGGCGGCCGGCAAGGAGATGACGGTGGACTCGACGCTGCAGCTGGCGGCGCGGCGCAACGTGCCGGTGCGGTACAACCGCGAGCTGGTGCAGAAGACGCTCAAGGCCATGGAGCGCATATCCGAGATCCGGTCGCGGCGCGAGCGCGTCTTCTACCGGCGCCGCATGGCCGGGCGGCGCGAGCGCGAGGTGGCGGCGGCGCGCAAGCTCGTGGCCGAGGGCGAGCACCTGCTCCCGCGCCTGCGCGGGTCCGAGAAGCGCCGCATCGCCGAGGAGAAGGGCATCCCCGTCGACGAGGTCGAGGCGCTCACGCTCGACCAGATGCTCGAGCTCAAGAGCGGCGGCAAGAAGCGCGCCGGCAAGGTGTTTGGCAGGGAGGTGCTGCGCCAGAGGGTCCGGGCCGACGGCGGCGTCGACACGGTGGTCGAGAGGACGACGGGGGTAGCCGGGGAGGACGAGGACGACGACGACGACGGGGGCGACAGCGACGAGGACGATGCGGACGGCATGGATACGGACTGATGAGACAGAGGAGGACGCCATGCCTGTTTCCTCCTTGTCTGGCTATTGGTTCCCGGCTTGGCACTCTCCGGCGTTTATCCCGACGGCCTTTTGTTTTATTTCTTTGACTTTAAGCGTAACACTCGAGAATTGGGCATCACCGGCGTTTTTCCTGGAGGGTAACAAAATATGGGTATAATGGCTTGTGGTATATAAATCATTTTGGCTCTGCCTCCAACTTCCCCCCACGGAATGAACGGTACCTAGCTTCACACACACAAGACGTCCCGTCCCGCAGATAAATCCTTGCTTCTGTTCACTCTACATCTCGTTCGCTCTGGTGGTACGTCTTGGGCGGGGGAGCCAGGCCGGCGTCGACGTCCTTGACTATTTTGGCCTGCAGTTGGTCCATAGTCGGCCGCTCCCAGGGCGGCACCGCGCCGCCGTCGCCGCCGTTGCCGTCGGACCAGTTCCCCGCGCCTCCCCTGCCGCCCAGGCCTCCGCTCCTGGGCTGGGCGAGGCTGGCGCCGACGAGCGCGTGGGCCTTGCGGGCCTCGGCCTCGCGCTCGGCCGAGTCGGCCGCGTCCCCGCCATCGTAAAAGTTGCCGGCGCCGCCCCGCCCCGCCCGGCTGTACGGGGCGGAACCACCGCTGGCGGCTGGGGGTTGTGCGAGCGACGAGGCCGTCTTTTGCGCTTCCAGGTCCTGCTGGGGCCGGAAACGGGGACGCGTTGGCGCGAGGGGAGGTTACCATTGGACTCTTGTTACATCTCAAAAAAAGATACATAGGGATGTATCACGTGGGCGGGCTTTTAAGATCTTCCTTCACCAATTAAGGAAAGAAAAGGGGGGGAGTGAGGTCATTTCATACTGTTGACGCCTTGCTCGCCTTGGCCACGTCCTCGACGTCCTTCTTGGAGTAAAAGTTCCCGGCACCCCCACGGCCTACTCGCTTGTAGACCTCGTCCGACATGTCGTCTGGGCGCTGTTCCTTGTTATCGTCGTTGGGCGTGGGATTTTCCGACCGAGACGGACGGTGGCCGTCGTGGTTTGGTTGATGAGGAGGAACAAAAAAGCGGAACATTTTTTTCTTCTTTTCTTTTTTATCTCTTTCGAGTCTCACTATTCAATGATGCTCTTTGCTAGCTCGCCCGATCGATATGCTTCGTGCGTGCGTTGGGCTCGCCTGCGAGCTTATCATGAGCGGGCTGTGGAATCACTACTAATTGAAGCCACACATCAGTGGGAAAAAAGCCCCTGGGCGAAAGTGCATGGCCCCCAGCGCCACCTCGCTTGCCTTCCCCGACAGACCCCCTTGAATCACAGTGCTTGACACTTGTCGCGAGGAGTCGTGGGTTTCGAAACAAGCATTTCGGTCATGAGGCGGCCGCCTCTAGTTCAACCCTACCTAGGGAATGCTTTGTATTTACCGCACCCCTTTCTCTTCTTTCTGGCTCTCTCGCGGGCCTGTTCCGGGCTGAATGGGTTGAATTCCAAGGCCCCGCCGTCCCATGGTTTCTGGGAGCTACCAATGCCTGCCGACCTGGCATTTGAGCTTGGACATACCAGACCCGTTTTCATATACCTCCAACACCGGCAATGGGCACGCGGTGCTGGTTCTGTGACTGCCGGTGGGCCGTTTCGATGCCCTGGATGGACTTGATCCTAGTCACCGGCAGACAGCAGCCCGGCGGGGCGGCTTCGTGTTTTCACCGAACGCTTCCAAACGAACAGCACAGCACAGGGCTCCATTTCTCCCTCTCCCTGTTCGGTAGGGCTTCAACCTGCCGTATGTTCCTGTGATACAGCACATGTCATGTGCCTATCCGGGCACTCCTCCTGCCCCCGTCTCTCCGATGTTCCACCCAACCACAAACAACGGGGCCCGGCAGGGCGGTTTCTCGCCGATCAGCCGCCCCCCGCCTAGCCTCTCTCTGCTCGGCTCCACGGGCGGGAGATGAGGTTGGTCGACACGGGTCACGCTTCCCGCCCCCGAAGAACTCAGAGAGAGAAAGAAAAAAAAGAAGAAAAAAGGGAGAAAAAATAATACCCGCGCACGTTCCCCGTCCCAAACCTCGGGAGAAAGCCATGAAAATCCGGCACCGGCCGCGCGGCTCTATTTTCTCCCTCCAGCCAAGGAGGTCTC